AGCAGTAGCCGCTGTAGTAGTAGGAACAGGAACAGCAGGTGCTGCAGGTGGTGCACAGTAGGGCGGCACGGCTCGGTCAGGGCGGCGCGGCGTGGCTCGGACTAGGCTACGCGGCGCGGCGCGACGGTGGGCCTGCGCGTGAGCGGTTGTAGCGTACGGGCCGCGGCTGTGCGTAGGCTGCAATCGCGCGCGGGCAGCGGCCTACATAGGCTACGCGGCGGCCTACGGGCGGGGCTGCGGCGCGTTGGACGGCCAGTAGGGCCGGTCGACGGGCGGCTAGCGGGCTGCTCGTGGGCGGCGCTGGTCGTGCTGGCGGCTAACAAGCGACGCGCGCGCGACTCGGGCCGCGCGCGGTCAGCTAGCGGGCTACGCGCGCTAAAAAAAAAGGTCGCGCGCGGGGCTTAGCGAGCTGCGCACGGGCAGCAGGAGAGAGAGAGAGAGGCGCACGAGGGCGCACTAACAGAGAGGCGCACGAGGGGGCTAAGGCGATAGGGTGCTTGAGGGCGCTCCTAGCGGAACAGTGGGCCCTTAGGTAGGTGGTCCTAGGTTCCTAACCTAGGCTCGTAATACCATGTCAAAATGAGAGAAGTGGTTGGACTAGCAAGATTGGGAGTACAAGTAGGAAAACTCTAGAATGTTGTACCCCCTAAGGCTAAGCCCACTATAGCCTACAGAACAGTAACATATACAATGTTTGATACACTCTGGCCTCTTCGGATGTTCAGCGCCCATTGTTAAGATACGAGCTTGGTAGGTAATAGGACGGCCTAGGCTTAGTAGCCTAGGCCAACGAGTTCGAGAAGATCGTGCCAAGGGTAAGTTGGGAAAGAGCGGTTTCACTATAGGTTTCAAAGAACATATAGCATAGGAAACAATGAAGGTGCACCACCAAACTAGGTTTATAATAACTACACTAACTACAGCTACAGGCAGTTACAAATATAAATAATATAAAGTGTGACACCCATAACGCCATCATTGTTAACGCATGCCGAACACTCAACCCCGTTATTCCGAAGTTACAAAGCTAGTGCATTTTGGCTTCGTCGTTATTTCGACCCGGCGTTTTTCGAGGCCCGTTAAAAAGGCCATAACGCCCATAACGTCAGCCGAACAGGGCCTTCGTCTACGAGGAATCACGAATTTCGTTTTCGGACGCTGCCTCACACGAATCAACTACGAGCCATGGATTGGCTTTGTTCGGCCGGCGCATCAGCGCGGATGGGCTACGGTGGATGAATGATGCAGACATTGGCGCTGTTCTGCAGGCGTTAAATTGCCAGAAACTGGGTCTGCAGAATCTTCCCCGATAAGCGCGCTTCTGCCTATCAAGGTTTGGTAATAAGCACGGTCCTGCCAAACCTTTTTGCGCCAAAATTAACGCTTTAGCCTGCAGAACGCCACTTTTGGGGCACACAAATTTAACGGGGTGAAGGCTCCACGGTGTTGCATCTCCAGGCAAATGTCCGCACAACTTGTGCATTGCCTATTCGGCCTCGAGAGCTAGCATCAGCCAACGCACAAGTTATTCAGGGCAGCAATTTGTGAGATTCGAGAGTTTGAGCGAGCTTCATGGCAACACCCCCAGCAAATTGAGAAATTAGGCAATTGGTGCGGCCAGAAGCTACAAGGAAGGACAAATTCCGTACATTTAATGCGGAGGCAATAACGCCTACAGAACAGCGCCATTGAGAAATCGCGGAAGCCCATCAGCGCGTTCAAGACACCTTCGTTCCAGGAATTTTGAGGGCGAGCGCCAGTTATGCGCGCATGATGCACCCTCGAGAGGGCGCACCATGCGCGCATCAGTGATGCGCAAAATTGCTAGAAGAAGGATTTTCCAGGAAAGCAACGACATGTAAAATCTCGTGGGCCAAAGATGCTGTTCGGCAGTCATCTGCTGACATTGAGCTTCGGCAGCCGTGCGCTTATCTCGAGCCTTGATAGCCTGTCAACAAGTTATCAAGAAGGTTCTAGGGTGGTCACTTTGTGCGGAATCACCTTTCTCAAGCTGTGATTCGGTATCCTCCTTATTGGTTTCATCCACTACAGTATTCCTTGACAGCAGCGAGCTTTGACAAATATGTTTGTGGCCGAACCGAACAGAGAAAATGACGTGCAACCACGTCATCGAGATTCCCGAATCGACGGTGACCACAATCACCCTCATCAGCCGTGGCTGGGATGCCGCCATGCTGGCCCCCCTGGGAGCATTTTCGGAGGAAGGCGATGAGGCGGATTCATCAGCAAGTGCCCCGCTATGTCGAAATTTTCCTAGTCCTTTCGCCTCTTACGGCCTTGAAAACTGTACAGTAATCGAATCATAACAAAATAGCTCCTATACCCACACGGCTTTCCTCATTACCCTCCCGTCACCCTCACGACACGGCAAACGGCCTTACCTTTTCCGTCTGCCTCAACTTTCCCATACGAAAGACGGCGGAGTATGCCCCTCTCGCTAAAAAAAGGTTCGCCACGCAAGCCTGCTACAGCAGCTATGTTTGAGAGTAAGTCATGCGCACGCGACATGCCCCTTGTCAACGCAGCGCTACTTAGAACCGTAAGAACACGAGATCAGTGTAAACACCAGACCCGAACCGTCGCTTCAGCTCGTTATCCTGATACACAAAGATCAGCCTCGTCACTTCCAGAAGCATTACTTTCAACTCAACAGTCGGTTTAGTCTCCTTTGCACAGCAGAATTTTACCCAGCAGCATGCTGAAGCTAATTCGACCGTTAGACGACTTTCACTCAGAATATGAAGTTAAAGAGAAGCTGGGAACCGGCAAGTTCGGAACCGTGTGGCGATGTCAGGAGCGACAAGGCAATAACGAGTTCGCGTGTAAACAGGCCGTCGGCAGAGGGGGCGTGGATTCCGCCTTACGAGAAATCGGCGCGCTTTCGACTCTTCAAGGCTGTCCCAACGTGGTTGCCATCCAAAAGTTGTTCCACGACCCTCAGACCGAAACCCTAATCTTGCTCTCCGAACTCGCGACAGGCGGCGATCTGGTAACACACATCAATGCGAAAGGACGGCTGCCTGAGTGGGAGGCGCGGTCGATTTTTCCGCGACGTGGTGTGCGGCGTGAAGCAGTGTCACCAGAGCGGGTTGATGCATCGCGATATCAAGCCGGAAAATATTATGCTGTTTGAGAACAGGTCGACGCTGACGTCAGGCGACGATGCGAAGTGCGACAGGAGCAACAAGAAGATTGGCTTTAATGGAGAAGTCATATCAAGCGAAGACGTGACAGCCTCATCGTTATCTCGAGAAAGAGACTCCGGGCTTCACGACGCCGCGCAGCCTTTCGTGGCCTTCACAGCTAAGCTGTCCGATTTCGGCGCATCGACGGTTCTAAAGCCGGGACAGAAAATGCATGCGTGCGTCGGCAGCCTTCCCTACATCGCTCCCGAGGTCCTCGCGAGAGATCTATACGACTTCTCCGCGGACATTTGGAGCCTTGGGGTTACCCTATATTCCATGCTGGCCGGCGAATGGCCGACAATTATTCGCGGACAACAGTCGCGTGAGGATTGGTTGCTCCCATGTTGGTCCGAAATCTCAGGCTCGGCGAAAAACCTCATCCGTTCGATGCTGTTTGTGGATCCTGGATCTCGTCCCACAGTCGATGCGGTATTAAATCATCCGTGGGTGAAGGGTGTCAGCCAGCCAAGCACATTGATTTTACCGAACGACGATGAATGTAAATCTCCGCCGCGAAGCTCTTGGCCTCGGGTTACCTCACCCATGCCGTCGCCTCTCGCGACGATTCACACCTCGACGCGAATAGCCGCTCAGACATGCCGAAACATCGCGCGGCGCATGCTACCGAAGCGGCGCAATTCCAAGACTAATCTGCTCGCGGATCTCACTTACGTCGATTAGATTATTAATACTCGCAGAAGATAGAGCATCTAAATTGCCCTGACAAAGCAAAGCAACAGCGGGAAGAGGAGGAATCAACCCGGGGCGTATTCAAGAACTCTTGCTTCGAGCACAGTGTCCCAACCTCTGAAGTTGCACTCAGTAAAAGTCAATTGTGAATGTCTACATACGTGCCTCGGCCACGAGGATGCAGCAGCGAGGAAAAGGGCAGCTCGCCAGGTGGCAGAAAATGACTAAACAGAAACGTACTCTTCTGGTTCGGATCAGGGTGGTGGATGGCAAAGGATGGAAATGGTCCAACAGTTTTGCGGCACTTAGGGGCAAACCTCGCAGGCCCCGGATCCATGTCTGAGGATCAGATATTCCTGGAGCGAGTCCTCTCGTTTCCCTTGCACAGTTACGACTGTTATGCGTTGTACACTTGTTCACTCTAGTGTATGATTCATTAAGCCAAAAAAAAAGGTAAAAGTCAATTGTTACAAAACTACAGAGGTACAGTTGCTTCTTGCAATGTCACTCCTACCATATTTCTAGATAATCTCACAGGCTATACTAAACACGTCATCAACCCAAACATTTAGAACAAGTACCACGCTAGAATCTTGTCATAACCCTGATTATTCCAATTCTCTCCCCTGCATTCTTGAGAATGGTTGGGCTGATATACACACGGATCTTGGTGTCACAGGTCTAGAAGACAAGTTTTTCAAATGAACAAGACTTCAAATATACGAATCAGGTGCTTGGCCGGGCAGAAAATATTTGTCTCTGACCTCCTCAGCTTTGCAGAACACAACCTGCGAATAGAAGTGGGAAGACAGGTCAATAGACCAGTTTCGTGCCCCATCGATATGAGCATATAACCAGGCAACTACGAGTTCAGTTTGGAATGTCTGAACTGAACTGAATATCCAGAAGGCACCACGGCCACGACACAGAAGGTTGGCGTACGAGTAGAGCAGATTCGTCATGACCTAGCTGGCTTATACGGGGGGCTTTAAAGCCAGCAACGCGCAGCAGCACTCACCAGGTTGGCATACGACTTGAGCAATGGCTTCATGACCAGCTGGCTCATAATGGGGGCTTTAAAGTCAGCATCTGCTCTGCACTCACCAGGTTGGCGTACGACTTGAGCAGCGGCTTCATGACCTTCCACCCCGGCTGGAAGATGAAGGGCGCGTCCACAAAGAGCACCTGGGGTGGTGGGAAGTGGTGGGAAGCGGTGTGGGGCGCAGGGCGGGCAGGGAGAGGAATGGAAGATGAACACCTGGGAGATGAAGATGAAGGGCGCGTCCACAAAGAGCACCTGGGGTGGTGGAGGGTCGGATGGGAGCAACAAGTGAGAGGAGAGTTAAAGCCCCTAAGAGTTGAAGAAAGTCTACCCTGGGTGGACGATGAAGGGCGCGTCCACAAAGAGCACCTGGGGTGAGAAGCAAGATGTGTAAGAGAGTGAGAGAAGCAGGATGCGTAAGAGAGTGAGAGAAGCAGGATGCGTAAGAGAGTGAGAGAAGCAGGATGCGTAAGAGAGTGAGAGAAGCAGGATGCGTAAGAGAGTGAGAGAAGCAGGATGCGTAAGAGAGTGAGAGAAGCAGGATGCGTAAGAGAGTGAGAGAAGCAGGATGCGTAAGAGAGTGAGAGAAGCAGGATGCGTAAGAGAGTGAGAGAAGCAGGATGCGTAAGAGAGTGAGAGAAGCAGGATGCGTAAGAGAGAGATAAGCAGGATGGGTGGGGAGAGAAATGTGAAGCTGAACAGTGTACTCACGAAGGCATGGAGCACAGACACAGGAGGTGTGGGAAGCAAGAGTGTGGGGAGCGAGAGAGGTGGGGAGCAAGAATGTGGGGAGTAAGAGTGTGGGAATCAAGATAGGTGAGGGGCAAGAGAGGTGGGGGGCAAGAGAGGTGGGGAGAAAGAGAGGTGGGGAGCAAGAGTGTGGGGAGCAAGAGAGGTGGGGAGCAACAATGTGGGGAGTAAGAGTGTGGGAATCAAGAGAGGTGGGGAGCAAGAGAGGTGGGGAGCAAGAGAGGTGGGGATCAAGAGAGGTAGGGAGCAAGAGAGGTGGGGAGCAAGAGAGGTGGGGAGCAAGAGAGGTGGGGAGCAAGAGAGGTGGGGAGCAAGATAGGTGGAGAGCAAGAGAGGTGGGGAACAACACTGGCATCCTATTACCTCAGAATCTCTCATTGTCTTCCCACTCTCTTGCATTCTCTTCCGTTCTCTTACATTCCCTTCCACTCTACCTACTGGGACCATTAACAAGAAAAGAAAAGAAAAGAGAGAGAGATCATGAAGTCATGCTTGCCATACCTGGTGCAATCTAGTTTTGAGGCGCCTGAAAACTAGACCTCTTACATTCACTTCCATTCCACTTACAGGGACCATTAAAATAAATGAGGAAGCATGAAGTTCTGCTTGCCATACCTGGTGCAAGTTTTGAGGCGCCTCAAAACTAGACCTCTTACATTCACTTCCATTCTACCTACAGGGACCATTCAAATAAATGAGGAAGCATGAAGTTCTGCTTGCCATACCTGGTGCAATCTCTTGGGATAGTAGTTGAAGAACACGTCAATCTGTAGGAGGAAATTCAGGGAAGCACGGGGTTGAAACGGATACAAGGAGACATTCTTTTAAGACTAACAATGTTTTTGGATTAGTAGTTGAATGAAACGTCAACCTGTGAGCGGCGGTGATAGTGGGAAGAAAGAAGGAGAAGCGGGAAAGTCTGAGACGCTTAAGTGAGAAGTGAGGAGAGAAGGTGAAACAAGCATGAACTTAATGAAAGCAAGGTCAAATATCCCCATGGCATGCATCCCATACATTTCCCCCCAAAAAGCATCTCCTTCCCTCCGCACCTTTCCCTTCGCCACCCCCTCTCCTCTTCTAGATACATGCACGCCAGCTCACCATGAACTTGACAAACGCCAGGTCGGTGTTCTTAGCAGTGAAGCCCGCAGGTCAAAGTTCCCGCCGAACTGCTCCTCCCCCTCCGGCAGTCACTTTCGAGTCAACTCAGAAGTCCCCTTCCCCACATGCAATTGCACACCAACTCACCATGAATTTCACGAAAGCCAGGTCGGTGTTCTTAGCAGTGAAACCTCTCAGGTCGAATATCCCTCGGAACTGCACCTCCCCCTCCGGCAGTCGCTCTATGGCTCTTTCAATGAGGTACGCGCAAAGCTGCTGGCTGTACACCAGGCGGGATGACTGGTGGCGGGTGGGAGAGGGAGGAGGTGGATGGGAGGGGGAGGGGCAGCAATGAAAGCGCGTAGCAGCCGCTCTATGGCTCTTTCAATGAGGTACGCGCACAGCTGCTGGCTGTACGTTGAGGCGAAGAGCCATAGTGCGACGGCTGTATTGCAGTCGCTCGATGGCTCTTTTGATGGGATATGCGCACAGCAGCTAGATGTAGACCAGGCGGGATGACTGGCGAGCGAGGAGGGGTGAAGGTGGGAGAGGGGAGTAGGTGGGTGGGAAGAGGAGGGGAAACAATGAAAGAGCTTGGAAGGCAACAATGAACAGAGACCACAACAACGTTGTCACAACAATGAACAGAGACCACAACAACGTTGTCACAACAATGAACAGAGACGACATGGTCACTTACGTCGGGGAAGTGTTTTTTGAGGCGCCTCAAAAACAATGAAAGAGATTAGAAGGCAGCAATGAACAGAGACCACAATCAAGAGCTGAAACCAGAAAGTCACTTACGTCGGGGAAGTGTTTCGCTGCCACGACAACGATCACGGGCCGCCCGTCCACGTCAGCGTACTCGTGGAGGAAAGCCTTCCCCGTGGCCCCCTCCTCTGCCACGTCAGCAGCTGTCAGCCCCGCCACTCCAAACTCGTGGCGCCATTTCTGATAAGGGGATGAGGGTCCAGGCAAAGGCGTGTATGGGCGGGACAAGGGTGCAGTACAAACAAAGGGGAGGAAAGGGGTGTTGGCGAGGGAAGGACAAGCCATTTACAGGGGGCAGTTCCAAGGGTCTTTACAGGGGTATTTACTTTTGAGAAGTTCCAAAACAGATTACAAACACAAGGGGCAGGACCACAAAGGGGCGAGGGAAGGGGTGTTGGCAAGGGGAAGGGCGAGTCAAGAGGTCAATTTCGTGTTTATTCGAGCTAATATACGATTGAATCCGTGGTGCCATTCCCACAACGCTCTGTACCGCACACAACCCACCCAATCTGCCACTCAAAATAGCTTTGACGAGTTTCTCACACCGTGGGTTCCACCTTGTACTTGCGGCTCTTGAGGAACCACCTGGCTGGTGGCTACTGCTGCTGTAACGCACTGTACCGCACTCCACCACTTACAATTGCCTTCACAAGCTTCTCCACCATGGGTTCCACCTTGTACTTGCGATCCTTGAGGAACCACCTCAGCATGGCCTGGTTGGTGGGTTTGTGGCTGCTGCTGCTGCTGCTGCTGCTGCTGCTGCTGCTGCATCGAGAGTAAACAGCAACACTCTGCCAGGACGCATTGCACCGCACACAACCCACCCACTCACAATAGCTTTGACGAGTTTCTCCCCTGTCGGTTCGACCTTGTACTTGCGATCCTTGAGGAACCACCTCAGCATGACCTGATGGTGCTGCTGCTGCTGCAACGAGAGTAAACAGCAACACTCCCCAGCAACGCACTGCACCACTCACAATAGCCTTCACAAGCTTCTCCACCGTGGGCTCCACCTTGTACTTGCGGTCCTTGAGGAACCACCTCAACATGGCGCTGCTGCTGCTGCTGCTGCTGCAACGCACTGTACCGCACTGCACCACTTACAATAGCCTTTACAAGCTTCTCCACCGTCGGTTCGACCTTGTACTTGCGGTCCTTGAGAAACCACCTCAGCATTGCCTCGTCGTCCCACCCCACCCATACTCACCCATAATCGCACTGCACCGCACAGAACCCACCCCCGCCACTCACAATAGCCTTCACAAGCTTCTCCACCGTGGGTTCCACCTTGTACTTGCGATCCTTGAGGAACCACCTCAGCATGGCCTCGTCGTCCCGCCCATACTCGCCCACGGGCAGGGACGCATGGTCGCGAGCCAAGATGCTCTTCACCTCGTCCACAAGCTGGAGTGAGGGGGGTTAGGTTGGAGAAAAGGGAGAGAATAGGCATGCTGTCGCCATCTCCCCATACTCGCCCACCGGGAGGGACGCATGGTTGCGCGCCAAGATGCTCTTCACCTCGTCTACCAGCTGATGGTGAATTGGGGAAGAGAGGGGATAGGAAAAGGATGGGTGCATGCAGGAACCACCTCAGCATGGCCTCGTCGTCCCTCCCATACTTGCCCACGGGGAGGGATGCATGGTCGCGCGAGCCAAGATGCTCTTTACCTCGTCCAAGAGCGGGAGTGAGGGGGACGAGGGGGTGGGGGGAAGGAGGAGGAGAGGAGAGGCTATGCGTGCAGTCGTTGCCCCTCCCATACTCGCCCTCATTTTGAGACGTCTCAAAATAAATCTTCATACAAGAGAAACAGGCTATGCATGCAGTCGTTGCCCCTCCCATACTCGCCCTCATTTTGAGACGTCTCAAAATAAATCTTCATACAAGAGAAAGAGGCTATGCATGCAGTCGTTGCGCCTCCCATACTCGCCCTCATTTTGAGACGTCTCAAAATAAATATTCATACAAGAGAAAGAGGCTATGCATGCAGTCGTTGCCCCTCCCATACTCGCCCTCATTTTGAGACGTCTCAAAATAAATCTTCATACAAGAGAACGAGTCTATGCATGCAGTCGTTGCCCCTCCCATACTCGCCCTCATTTTGAGACGTCTCAAAATAAATCTTCATACAAGAGAAAGAGTCTATGCATGCAGTCGTTGCCCCTCCCATACTCGCCCTCATTATGAGACGTCTCAAAATAAATCTTCATACAAGAGAAAGAGTCTATGCATGCAGTCGTTGCCCCTCCCATCAAGGTGCAAAAAAACGACGTTTTTTTCAATTTTTGATCGTAAAATACCGTATCGTAAGAAACGATCGTAAAAAACGATAAAAAACGGTTTTGAAAATAAATACTTCTGGTGCAAAAAAACCTTCGTTTTTTTCAGTAAAAATACCAAAACTGCTGCTGAAACAAGGGGATTGATTGGTGAGAAGAACAAGGGGGCCGTTAGAAGTGCTGATGATGCAGCGGAAGATTGTTAGAAGTGCTTTTGTGATCAGAACAGCATCTTTGAAGTTGAAGAGTTTTTTTTGTCTAACAAAAAAACGAAGTTTTTTTCCCAAAAGGTACCGTAAAATACCATCGAAAAAAACAATCGTATTTTTCGACAATTGTTTTTTTCTACCTTGCCTCCCATACTCGCCCTCATTTTGAGACGTCTCGAAATAAATCTTCATACAAGAGAAAGAGTCTATGCATGCAGTCGTTGCCCCTCCCATATACGCCCTCAGGGAGGGACGCATGGTTGCGAGCAACAAGGCCTTTAACTCATCCACGAGGGGGAGTGAGGGGTGTAGATGGGAAAGGAGAGGGCGGGGGGTAAGACACGGGCAAGGAAGGGCTTTCATTTCCTCCTGGCCCGTGGTTCAGGGGAGATTTCATTTCCATCCACACGTCTCGAAAAGCGTGGGACAGGGGGGATCCTGAAACGTCTCAAAAAGCGGGGGTCGGGGGGAAAGGGGGGAGAGAATCGAGGTGGGGCAAGGATGAGAAGGGGGGGGAGCTCAGCATACAGTCTCAGAAGGGAAAAGGGTGGCCTTGACCCTCATGCATAGAGGTCACATGCATTTATTATTACCTGAATCCACTCCTGCTTACCTTCATCAAGTACCACCTGAAGCATCACCTGAAAGATCACCTGAAGAATCACCTAAAAACCACCTGAAATGACACCTCTTTCCACTCACCGCAGCGATCTCCTCCTCCCGCCGCTCCACCCATCCGCTGCTGCCGCTTGTCGTCACGCCGTTCGTCCCCGTTGTCGTGGTCCCCCCATCCGCTCGCACGCACACTCCCCTTCTTCTTCTCAGGCTCAGTGGCCTTATGTGATTCTCTAGTCCTCCCCTCGAACAACTCCCCCTCCTGTCTCTTCGAAAACTGAGAGCGGTTGTGAAAGATGCAGGGGCGATTCGAGTGCTGCTGGACGCTGACGTCACGCTGACGTGCTGCCATGTGGCAGCAGCAGGAAGGAGGGCTGCTCTGGTGTTGGCCACTGCAGCGGATCCTGGGAACGCCATGTCAGCCAGTCACGCTGCGCCGCGTGGCAAGAGGAGGAAATGTATGGACGACACGCATTGGAGCATGAGTGATTGACGAGCAAATCTGGAACGATGCATATTGAATGACTGGTCTGGTAAGTGATTTATCATGTCTGATTCGTGTTTGTTCGTACGTACGAAAGGTTCTTAGCGAGTGAATTGAATCAAGGAGTGTGCGGTGTAGGTGAATGGGAAGAGAAACAGAATGGAGAAGAAACAAGACGACTCGTTGTAGTCACACTTAAGCGAGCGAGCAAGTACGTGCAGAACCCGCCGCAGCCTCGATTTCCCGCTAAGAAAGGGAGGATCTCGAGATTTTTGCAAGCAAGACGGCCGACAGAAGTGAGGGGGTTACTCTCGCGACGTCAATAATTCTCCAGAGGACCACGAACGTAAGCTCACGGACTAAGACACACGTCGCATTCTAGCGACGGATTCTGGAAATGAAACTGCTTATAAAAGGAAGGGTACTCTCGCGACGTCAGTAAATCCCAAGAGTACCACGGTGGGATCACGGATCAAGACGCACGGCGCCAACGGCATTTTAGCGACGATTTCTGGTTAGCGAACCAGCCAAAGCGGTAATGTATCTCGCAACAGAAGCCACGCGGCAGCGACGGAGGCAACAAGGAGTCAGTGAAATTGCGATGCCCTAGTGTTTTTTGAGAGAGTGCATCGATATCGCTTCTTCATTTGCGTTGACACCTAAACTCGTGGCGCGCAGCAAGGCAGCGGTAGCATTGATCGTGGTAAATTCTAGCCGCTGACAGCGGAATCTACTCACCTAGTGCAACGGAGTGAGGTTGATTGGAACACAAAACGGTATTCCTCCTCAACGCGTGGCGACGATATTCCCTGAAGTGTCACAACATTCCCAAGGCGTTCAGAAGACTGACGCAACTCGAGAGCGAGAAGAAAGCGAAGCAAAGCAGAACTGAAAATGGCGGGAGGTGTGGAACGTGTGCCTATTGGAGGGAAGAGTGGATAAGAGTGATTGTATGAGGATTGTGACTCTATGAGAAACTTGACGAGTGAGCTGAGGAGTGTGTCGCTTCAATCCAGATTCTCTGTTCTGATTCTGTGGAAGATTCTTCACCAGAGGCAAAAGGCGACCATCCTCAGCGAGCCAAGAGCTGGTAACATGTGCGGGCGACATCCAGTCGCACGCGAAAAGCATCAAATTCCATTTATACGCGCTAAGCTAGACTCCGTAACAGATTTCCCAAACAATGCTTCAAAATCAACAACAGAGCACAACCACTTACCAAGTTGGCTCGCGCGTTGAGTCGTCAGGTGATTCCACATGTGGAGTCCGTGCTCAGCTCCTCCACCAACTGCAGCTCAGGGTGTGACCCAAATTGCTCCCCACGTTCCCAAGCCAAGGTTTTCTGCCGAGGCTCGTTTCCGAGTCGAGCCAGCTGTGAGGTGGTGTGGCCAAACCAGAAAACGTGCTGCTCACCTCACACACCACCAACGCGACTTCACGCGGGATGCGGTTCGGGCTCATGGCACCAGCCACAGCAATCGAAGATTGCTTTTCCTCCCTAGACAGATGTTTTTAGTAGAGCCCACTCCTTGCACTTGAAATCAGCTCAAAGCTTGACAAATTCGAAATAACGACATTACCGATTGCTTTTCCAATGCAATACCTTTTCGGGGGAGGGATTTCATTTCGTGCTGGAGGGGAAATGCCTGTGCACCGTCCAGCCCTACACACTCAAGTTCGTTGTGCCTGGGCTTCCCTCCTAGTCGAAAGACAGTGTCGTTTTCGGCATGTCGGTCGACGCTGATTGCTGCTGCAGCAATGTCGATTCAAGGGCATTTTTCCTTAATGCCCTGAACATTCTGGGTTATGTTCGGCGCAGCTCGACCATTTTAAGGGTTCGATTTGACTGGCACCCGTGCCAGTTAAGGGCATCGTTTGGCCCTTCCCTGGACGCGTTAAGTGCTCAATCTGGGCCATCCCCTGAATCTAATTTCTAGTTTCGATTCCGCAGATCCCCCCCCCCAAAATCTTGCGAAACATCCCCCTCCCCTTACCCCCCCTTTCCATGAAAGTTGCACAATAGGGCGCCAGGTGGAGGATGTTTCACTCGATTTCTATCCAATCTAGTGTGTGTAGTGTCGAAGTCAGCAGATGAGTAGAAATGCAGTAGGCAGTGCAGCTATAGTTGTAGTTGGAAATTGTGACATACAGGTTGACTGGAGTAGTTAGTAATGAAAAGTATGTCATTTTCTTGTCTAGGACGCTGTTTAGGTTGGTTAAGTACACAACACTTTGGAGCCCGGATTTCAAGTTTACACTTCGGCCTGCACCCGCGACCGTTCAGGGCAAAAAATTGGTCACCTCGCTGAAAATCAGGGTCAGAATTTCAGCAGCTAAGGGCCTCAAGTTCTGCCCCCAGGGATATCGACAGCTCTGTTGCTGCACCTCAACCTCAGTGGTCTGGCTGGAAGCGCTCCTCTGAGGGGACGTGATTACACGTCACCATTCACGAACAGACAAATTACGAAGCAGATTTTGAGGTTCAGAGCTCCCAGAGCCTGGTCTTTGGTTGGTAGACATCTGGCTCGTCGTGGCTGAACGGGGAGTCACCAGCTACAGCGCCTACAGCACTGTTGCACTGCAGCCATTCCCCCCACCTTTCCCCCTCCCCGCAAACCTCTCCCCATTCCCTTTTCCTCGTCGCACTCCCTCCGCCTGTTCAATTGCTCCGCTTGCATCCTCTCCCCCCATCGCGCGTTCTGGTTGTTGGTGTATCTCAATCAACAGCGTACTCTTGTCGTGAACGATACCCGAGACAAACGTTCACAAATGTACAGAATCGTACTTCACCGTATTGATAAGAGCTCGACCCCTTGCTCCAAGGTTGTTCATATGTAATTCCTGCTCGGCTAGCTGATGCCTGGTTGATCAACAGATCGACTCTGGCTATGTCTATGTCGTCTGTTGAAATCAAGTGTTTTTGAGCAACCACCTTACGGCTTTTCCCGCAACCAGGAAGTGAACAGCATTTTCTTCGCGTACAAAGCAAATCAGATTATTGTTGCTTAGTCTCGCCTTTCACCTAAATTCGACGTTTCGCTGTTCGTAAGTGCATCATTTGGCGTCGGACCGACACGCGAATTTGTGGCGTGTCGCCTAGTTGTTGCTCCGCCTGTCGCCGAGCTGTCGCCGAGTTGTCGCGCGCGTCGCATGGCGATGGTGGATTACCTGGTGATGGGCTTCGGCCTCGCCGCGTGCGGCGGCTCGCTCTGCGGCGGCGTGCTGATCGCCTTCGACTCGCACGCGCCCGAAAAACTCAAGGTACGGACGAGCGTGTGCTGCAAGGTACGGACAAGTGTGTGCTGCAAGGTACGCCCGAAATACTCGAGGTACGAAGCTGGCGATATGAGCTTACGACAGTAGCGTAGTTGCACGGGTCCCGCTCGCCCCCGCTCTTTCCGCTCTTCCTCCTCCCCTCCGTAAACGCCCATCCTCCCCTCCGCTCTTTCTTCGCGCGCATATGGCGAAGCCAGAGCCCGTTCGCTTCCTGTTTTGAGACGCCTCAAAACTCGTTCGCTTCCTGTTATGAGACGTCTCAGATGTTGAGACGTCTCAAAACTCGTTCGCTTCCTCCCGCTCTCTTGCCGTCTCTCCCCGTTCCCTTCTCCCCTTCCCACACCCTCCCCCGCCGTCTCCGCCCTCCCCGGCTCTTCCCCATCCTCCCCCCCCGAACCGTTCCCTCCCATCCGTGCGCATTCCAGCCGTTTACGGGCGGAGTTTTTCATAACGGCTACGCTGTATCAATAAACTAGCTCTTGGTCCGCCCACTTCCCCCGTCCCGTCCTCCCCCTGTCCTGTCTTTCCCCTCCCACATCGTCCCCATCCCTCGTCACCCCCTCCCCCTTCATCCCGCCCTCCCCCCTCCGCCCCTCCCCTCCCCACTCCCCCCCGTATTCCGCCTGCCGCTCTTCCCCTTACCCCGTGTCCTCCCGCCCCCATCAAAGCTTTCCCATCTCCTCATCTTTCCTCTCCCCCAATCTCCCCCTTGGCGCCTTCTCCATCTTTCCCCCATCCCCCTGGCGCAACAGGCGGAGGATGCGGAACCCATTCGCAACGGCGAGTCGCTCATGGACCCGCCCTGCCTACACCGCATCTCGCGCCCATCCCACGGCGCCGCGCATTCCTCCGGCGGCGCCACGCGTCCGTCGCTCACTGGCTCTCGCCCGGCAAGCGCGCCGATTCGAACCGACCGACCTGAGGCGCAACCGACGGCGCGTATGCCGCCCGCGAATCACGGCGACGAGCGGAAAGAAACGCGCCACGTGGCTTCAGCCGGCCACCACCCGCATCCGACGCGGTCGCGCTCCTACGTATCGTCTCCCGCGGAGCTAGAAGACGCGGTTCCTCCGCTTGATGCGCCGCGAGATGCAGAGCGGCGGAGAAGCTTTGACGGGTCGGAGTCGGAAAGGGCCAGCCTTATGCGCGATGGTGACTATAACGGATGCTATCCTCACGGGGGGCCGTTCGAGTCGCGCGAGGGCAATTACGCTAATTACCCGGGTTACCCTGCGCACGGGGTTGGAATGCTGGCGCGGCCACACTCACACCCCAACATGCACCCTCGACCGCATCAGTGCGGGTCAGAGGGGGATGAGATGCAGCAGCACCGGTACTACCAGCATCACCAGCACCAACAGCAAGCGCAGCAGCAGCGGATGTACTATCAGCAGCAGTGCCACCAGTATCAGCAGTACTTGCAACAGCAGCAGGAGCAGAATCGGGAGCACCAGCCGCAGCTGCAGCATCAGCAGCAGGAGCAGGAGCAACAGCAGGATCACCGTCGTTTTCACAGCAACCATTACCCGCATCCGCTCCCCCTACAGAAGCCCCCGCACTCGCGCTCACACACCCCACCCTTCCCCCCTTCATACCAACCCCCCCATGCGCCGGATTTTCCTCCACACGCCCCCCCGCGTTGCCCCCCCTCGTACCCCCCTTCCGCCTTCCCCAACCGGCCCGCGGGTGCGCCCATATGCCCGCCCGCGCAGAGGCAGCAGGGGGGCCCGGGGGAGCAAACGGCGCACAGGCAGCTGGAGCAGGGGCTTAGGACGCTGCCCAGACTGAAGGTGTGAGGGGATTGAGCCTGGGAAGCGAGTGAGACAGCACAGGTGAGAGCACGCAGCTGGAGCAGGGGCTTAGGACGCTGCGCAGACTCAAGAAGGCTGCCCACTCAAGAAAGGAATTTTCTAATCTGGGCCAAGGCGTTTGGGAGGGATGGGCACAGGAGGCGTGAGGGGGAGGATGCGAACAGGAAGTGTGAGAGGCTGGCTTGTGCAATAGCAGCAATGGAGGCTGAAGTGGGGCTGTGCAGATGGAAAGAGAGGGGGGTGGGGAGCGCCAATGCTAGTTGAAGCAGGGGAAGTGAGTGTGGGCATGTATGGGGGGGAATTGGCCGCGGAAGAGAGATGGGGTGGGGGGGTGAGGAGACTGGTGAGGGCTGTAAGTGGAGGGATGGGGGCACTGGGCAGTTGCCTTTTATGCCTTTAAACAGAACGGCGTGTCTTTTATGTAGTTGCCTTTTATTTTACAGTGGGGAATTATATGCAAAGGTAGCTGGAGCAGGGGGGTAGGAACTTGAAGTGTACTGCGGTATTTTTGTTGGCGTTTTAGCACTGCAGAAACTCCTAATATTATTATACTTGTGCACTCGAAATAGTGTGAAGATCAAGCTGGGAATAAACGTTCAACTTACTAGAATGATTGTGATGACATAGTTTAGGGTACAATCAAAAGCAACGGCACCACTGTACTGTTTTATCAGGCTCCTTTGCACCCCTTGAGATGGCCGCCGGGCCTGCAGCAGCCCACCTTACAAGCTGCTCAGTATTTCTCGAGAGCCTATGCTGATTCCCCCGACTTGCTTCGATATCCGAATTGCGCTGCTGTAACCTCAATGTTCCAAATTCGCAGGTTCTAGATTCCAGGTTTGATACTCCTCTCGAATCCTCCTGACTCCCTCGCACCAATCTCATGGCTTGCTGCCTTGGAGTCGAGCGATCATCGTCGTTCGGTATGCTTGTCTCCAAGTGCCGTCGTTAGCAATCGACGTCGCATGATTCGCCAGCGGCCTTTCGCTCATGAGCTGCTCCCGATCGCTTCTGATTTGCGAGTGCTACTGCTCTGAATCGTATATTACCGTTCTGACCTCCTTAAGCAGTGCTTATCAGTATTTTTTCTACTCAATTCCCGGAATGCAGGCGACCCAAAATACCTGGCACGGTACGCACTTGTGAGGGTCGCAGTACGATGCGTGTAGTTAAAATTTAGTGCAATTTCACGCTAATTTATTACGCTCCGCCGTCGTAAGCCATCGCATCCTCAGGCGCCTCGTTATAGTCACCCACCACCCGCCACGTCATCAATGACAACATCATCCTCCGTCACTTGCTCATTGCGCTTACCACCAGGCACAGCACCCGCTGCCAGCTCTTGGTCACTGCGCTTTCAACCCCAAAAATCAGTCCACGGAGCAATACAGTCACGCGTAGGGTGTGAATTCAGCGGCAGCTCACAACAATGGAGGTGCGCAACTGACAGAGCAACCCACGGAGCAACCCGCAGAGCAACCCGCAGAACAGCAACTCATGCCTGTCGAAGGCCAGGAGCAAGGGCAGGGGTGTGTGTGAGTGTTGCTGCTGCTGCTGCGGAAGAATCAGCAGGAGGAGGAGCAGGAGGAGGAGCAGCGGGAGGAGCAGCAGAAGCAGGAGCAGAAGCAGCAGCAGGAGCAGCAGCAGGTGGGCTAGCAAGCAGTCCAGCAACCCCTGCCAGCCCAAGACAAAGAGTAAGGGCAGACATTAACGCGATTGTTGCAGCTGCTGCTGCTGCTGCTGTGGCGGCGACAGTATCTGCAGGAGCTGCTGAGAAAGCAGCGGCAGCATCAGCAGGAGCGGCAGCAGCAGGGGGGGTGTCAGCGCTACCACCAGTGGCAGGGAAGGCGGTGCGAGTGGTGCAGTGCGTGTCTCGCTGTGCCCCCATGCTGGAAGATAACTTCCTCAACAACTCCGCCAGAACGGTGTACTCTAATGTGCTCATGCCTGGAGAACAATCTGTGGGGCTGTTAACATGGTTTCCGGCCCGTTTGATGGGAGCTGTGCAGCGATCAGAGACGCTGGTAAGTGCAAGTCATGTGCGCCAGGCCACTGCCTCACCACACCCCATGTGTGTCACCTGTTAGCATGGCTGCCGGCCCGTTTGATGGCAGCTGTGCAGCGATCAGATACGCTGGTAAGATGTGCTCCTGCTGCGTGCCCCACGCAGTATGTTCTTATGCCTGGCGCGAAATCGTTTGGGCTGTTAGCATGATTTCCGGTCCGTGTGATGGCAGCTGTGCAGCGATCAGAGACGCTGGTAAGTGTGGTTCAGTGCATTTACTGCGAGCACATTTCTCTCCACGTCATTGGTCGCTGCTCCCCTCACAATACGGAGTCAAACCACACGCATTTCATGACATCTGGACCCTGAATTTCATGCCACGTGGCAGGTTGTGATTGCTCTGCGGGAGTCGATCGTGTTTCTTGCCCTCATCGCCCTCTTTGCTGTCACACCTAACGTCTGCCGAGCCCTCAACTGGTAACCATTAACTGGTAACCATCAACTGAAAAGCATAGTCTGTTAATCATTACAATGTCATCTCGTTGCAATGCCATGTCATGTTTGGCTCTCTTGACTTTCTTGTGAAGACAGCCACCCAGGAACCATCCAGTTCTCAATCCGCTCATGTCATTTTGCCTCCACCATTTTGGAGACATCTCAAAATAATATTGAGACGTCTGAAAGGTTTACAATCCACTTATGTTAGATTCTCTCCTTTGCCCCTGCCAACCCATGCTTTGGGCCAACCTCATCATGCGACTCAATGTCTGGCCCTCTTGTCTCAAGGTTTTCAATCCACTCGTCTCACTTTTCCTCCTTCTTTACCATCCCCTCCCCCCAGGCTGTGGGCCTCCTTTATCATGCGAGACGGTCAAGTCACAGAGGAATGCTTTCAGGACTCCGTGTTTGGCGCTCTCGTGCTCCCCCTGCAGTTTGTTGCAGCCGCTTTCTTCCTCACCAGACAGTAAGGGAGCCACACTACTATCGCTCTTCGTTTATGCTGCTTTCGTTTTCACCAGGCAGAGGTTCCACCCTTACAAACACCCACACGCGCAAAAAGTAACGATTTGTAACCGTTCCCTGTTCTCTCTCACTTCCTGTCCCCCCTTTCCTCCCGCTCCCCCTTGCAGCATGCGTCTCCTTTTTTCACTGGCCAAGCTCCTTCCTCCTCCGTCGGTTCACAATAGTTTCAGTGGTGGTGGTGCCAGTGTGGGTGGCAAATCCCCTTCTTCGTCTTTCCCTCTCTCGCTCACTCCCTCCTCCTTATCCTTGCAGTATGCGCCTTCTCCTGCCTCTAGCCAAGCTCCACCTGAGCCCGTTCCTCCTGCGGAGGTTCAGAATGGTTTCAGTGGTGGTGGCGGTGACGTGCTTTGCAGTGGGGTGGAAGGACAGAGTCATGCGGATGGTGCTGCAGAGGCACCCGGCTGAAAAGGTGAGCAGAGTGGACCGTGTGTGTGGGCCTAGTGCTCTCTCTACTGGTGGCGTTGGTGATGGATTTACCTACTATCTTTTAAAGAAGCTGCGGTGCTGTCAGTGCTGGTGGTGACGTGCTTTGCAGTGGGGTCGAAGAATTTTTTAGGCGCCTCAAAAGTCGTCTTTTGAGGCGCCTCAAAAGTCGTCTCATGTCTCGCGTTTTTTTTTGCTGGTGGTGACGTGCTTTGCAGTGGGGTCGAAGAACGGGGATATCCCCCCCTCCCATCCGCCCCTCATGCCCCCCTCTCTCCCCCATGCCCCCTCTCCTCCCACCAGCCCATATTGCTCAACGTCAGTCGTTTCCTCTCGCTGCTCATCCACCTCGTGGGGGTTGGCACGCTGCTATACCCACCTGATCAAAGCTCTTCCGCCTTTCCCTCCCCACTCCTCCCCCCTCTCCCATCCCACCAGCCCACCTTGCTCAACGCGAGTCGCTTCCTCTCGCTGCTCATCCACCTGGTGGGGGTGGGCACGGTGCTACCTCAACCTGCGAACCACCTCTCCCATCCGCCCCTCATCCCCCCTATGCTATGCCCGATGCACCAACGCCCCGCCCACCAGCCCATCTTGCTCAACGCGAGCCGTTTCCTCTCGCTGCTCATCCATCTTGTGGGAGTGGGCACGGTGCTGGACCTATTCGGTGTCTCCCTCCTCTCCCTGGTGGCTGTGGGCGGCATCTCAGGTGAGGGAGTGAGGGAGGGAGTGAGGGAGGATTGAGTAAGTGCGTCAGAGCTGGCTGAGAGACCTAGTGGGAGTGGGCACGGTTCTGGACCTATTCGGTGTCTCCCTCCTCTCCCTGGTGGCTGTGGGCGGCATCTCAGGTGCGAGGGGGTGCGGGAGAGAGTGAGGGAGGGAGTGAGGGGGTGAGTGGGCACGGTGCTGGATCTCTTTGGCGAGTCCATCCTCTCCCTGGTGGCTGTGAGCGGCATCTCAGGTGGGCGGCATCTCAGGTGGGCGGCATCTCAGGTGGGCGGCATCTCAGGTGTGGAAGGAAGTGATGGGGTGAGTGAGGGAAAGTGAAAGAAAGTGAGGGAAAGTGAAAGTGGATAAAAACACCCACTCAACCCTCAGAGATAAAGCACCCACTTTCCACCTGGAATCTCCCTCCGACCTTCTCAAATGCCAGGTGTCGCCATGGGCTTTGCTTCCAAGGAGATGGTGGCCAGTTTTTTTGGCGGGCTGGTGCTGGTGTTCTCACAGCCGTTCGTGGTGGGGGAGATGGCTAAGGTAACAGCAACACACACGGCATGGCCAACCCTCTTCCTTTTCCTTCCAGTGCACCGAGCACCTTTGAGAATTCTCAAAAGTGATTCCCAAGTCTCAAAAGAGAATTCTCAAAAGTGATTCCCAAGTCTCAAAAGAGAATTCTCAAAAGTGATTCCCAAGTCTCAAAAGAGAATTCTCAAAAGTGATTCCCAAGTCTCAAAAGAGAATTCTCAAAAGTGATTCCCATGCGGCATGGCCAACCCTCTTCCTTTTCCTTCCAGGGCACCGAGCACCGCTCTTCCCAACCCCCTTCCCCCACCTCCCCAAATGTTAGGTGTCGCCATGGGATTCGCCTCCAAGGAAATAGTCGCGAATTTCTTTGGAGGGCTAGTGCTGGTGTTCTCACAGCCATTCGTGGTGGGGGATATTGTTAAGGAGACCCCCACCTCCCCAAATGCCAGGTGTCGCCATGGGATTCGCCTCCAAGAAAATAGTGGCGAATTTCTTTGGAGGGCTAGTGCTGGTGATCTCACAGCCATTCGTGGTGGGAGAGCGCATTCAAGCAGGGGCCATATCGGGAAGGGTGGAGGAGGATGGTACAGGAAACAACCACCCCACGCCCCCACTCCCGCCTCCCTCAACCCTTTGAGATAGAGCATCCCCTCTCCACCTGGCACCTTCCCCCAACCTTTCCGAATGCCAGGTGTCGCGATGGGATTCGCTTCCAAGGAAATAGTCGCTAATTTCTTCGGCGGGCTAGTGCTGGTGATCTCACAGCCATTCGTGGTGGGAGAGCGCATTCAAGCAGGGGCCATATCGGGGCGCGTGGAGGAGATTGGGTTTCTGCACACCAAGCTGGCTGGAGCAAACAAGGCGCCAGTTGTGGTGCCAAATCAAATCTTCAACACTGCAGTGAGTGCGCCTATAACGAGTACGTCAGGGACATAGAATGAAACAATTTAAGCAGGGGGGGCATATCGGGGCGGATGGAGGAGATTGGGTTTCTTCACACCAAGCTGGCTGGAGCAAACAAGGCGCCAGTTGTGGTGCCAAATCAAATCTTCAACACTGCAGTGAGTGCGCCTATAACGAGTACGTCAGGGACATAGAGTGAATCAATTTAAGCAGGGGGGGCATATCGGGGCAGGTGGAGGAGATTGGGTTTCTGCACACCAAACTGGCTGGAGCAGACCGTCAGTGGTGGTGCCCAACCAGATCTTCAACACTGCAGTGAGTGCCCCTATTACGGCTATGCCGGTGTGCTTATAACGAGTATTTTGCGAGTCACACTCTCAGCGCAACACGGAGTGCTCCAATACATGGACATATATATATATGTATATATATATATATATATATATTTTCTCTCTCAACAAATCCCTGCGACTGAGTGCTCCATTACATCTCTTCATCTGCGGGATTGGACCAATGGACGTTGTGGGATTGCAATTTGCAACACATTTTATCATCACAGAACCATACATATTATCCTATCATCCTCGCACTCCCACTCCTGTCCTGACATGTTACCCATTCCCCTCAAACCCTGCCAGGTGATCACCAACTTCTCCCGTGCTCGGTGCTACCCTGTAGCCGTCACATTCGAGCTCAGAATAGAGGATATCGAGCGAGTGCAAGCCATCACGTCTCGCATCACCCGCATGCTCAGGTCGCATGCTGACGTGGACCAATCACAGGGCCCCGCGCATGCAGTGCTGAAGGACCTCAATGGGGCCAGTCTGCATGTGGGCATGCTGGCTTCGCTAAACCCTCAGGTGAGATTTCAGGTGATTCCAGGTGAGTTCAAGTGTTTTCTTTGGCATTAGCTATTGCAATTGGTACTCGAGCATTTTGTCATGTCGTCATCCCCCAAACGATACCTGGCTTCTATGCAAGTCTATTTATATTTATATACTATTAATAGATATACATGTATTTGTGTATATATTTATGCGTGTGCATACAGTCGTATAAATGGTTGCTAGATAACTACCTAACAAATTTAGATGCAACCATCTGGTACGCCAGTGGTTGGTACCAGACCCTTTCATGACTGCTACGGCTGGTATGTTTGGGGCGCGATTGCCCAGGGTTGTTGATGGCTTTTATACTTCCTATCACTAAGAGCCATGCTCCTTTTCACTGGTATGATGCAGGAAGGTAGGAAGGTGGTGGACGTCAAGCAAGAAATTCTTGAAAGAGCAGTGAGAATCATTCTGGATGAAGGAGCATGTATAGGCACAAACGTACAATTTCTTGATAGTGGTGCGAATTCGTCATAAGGCTCCGCAAGGAAAGGGTCAAGATGACATTGATCACCCTTGTGCATGATACTTTCCTACCTACTAAATGAGATGTTTGCATCATCCATTTTATCCTCCGCGGCGCCTTTATTAGCGAGGAGTACATTTCATAACCATGCCTTTCGATATACTAACGCATGGTGCACACATACTGCTGTTACCCAACAACTTTAAAAAGCTCACGGGGAAATCATTGGAATATTTGAAAGGGCCAAATGTGCATCTTATGGTATGTTTCTAAATATTGATTCCCCGCTTTCATTCTGTAACATCACCCATGTTGACTTGATGTGCTCCCTCTGTCATCAACAAGGTCAACAGCGTCGTCGTGGTCAGTCCGAAACTCACTTCAGAGCAGTCCGAAACTCACTTCAGAGCAGTCCGAAACTGGACATGTTCAGTTGACGAATGTGCTCCGATATAGGCCACCTCGCTTCCTGCGGGCCTGCCCACTTCGGTGCTAAGGGCGTGTCCAGTTCGTTCATTTCGGTATTTTTCGTGCCAACGCACGTATCGAGGTTAAAAAATGACTACTGTACCTAGAAACGAATGCATTGTGAGTGGAGTCCAACCATCCTGTAATTTCAGAAGCGCGGACACATTCCCCGCCACACGAATCAACAGTGCTCTGACCACGTTGAAAACGAGGTAACAGTTTCCCTCGTCAATCATAGCTTGAAAATTTTTGTGCAGGCGCAGGGGGCGCTGGCGAGTAGAGCGAACCACTGACGAAATCGTGCAAGCGATACAAGGGAAACGAACTGTAGTGGCCAGGACGCGGTGCTGTACCCTTGTTCGCGTCTCTGCTGATTCCAGTAACGTGAGTCAGACGACTCTAGGTACGTGCATGGGGCGTGCCGTCTTGCGAACAGAAGCTGATTGTGTCCGCTGGACACGTTCAGTAAAGGGTTACCACAAAAAATGTGGTGACTGAGGGGGTTTACGAACAGTAAATGTACGAGCTGGACCCCCCTAACCAACTTCTCATGTTTTCAAACGTCCTCCCTTTCCTTCCTGTCTTGCTGCTGTGCGACCCGTCCCGTCCTGTCCCTTCCAGTCCCGTGCACGCCAAGGGAAGGGATGCACCTGTCCCACAAAGCAAGGCCAACCAACCATTCTCCGAAAATATTTCCCTTTTCTCACTGGACGGCGGATGCTAGCCCTAGAGGTCTCAATCAACGGCAAAAATGCTGCCCACACACTTTCTCACCCCTGAAGTTTCGTCACACACAATCCAAGCCACCAAGCCACCTTCCTTGACACCTTCCGTGTCAACCTCGCCTCACCAACCTGTCCAACTCTCGCGCCCATTCGCACCCATCCGCACCCTCCTTAATTTGCATCCGCGCTTGAGCACCCGCAATCATATTTCTTCGAGGCTCAATTTCTGTCAGCCATCATCCACTCCACCTCTCGTATCTCCTCCAGCATGTATTCTCACACTTCTCGCTATCAGTCCACAGTGAGCGTTTAGTAGTGTCTGGAACTCCTTGCTGCACCTCTCAGATATTTTCGTATATTCTAGAAATCGCAAAAAACTTCTTGGTGTATAGTAGTAGTCTATTCAGCGCCCGGCAACTCCTCGCTGCCTCGGATATTACCAAACACGGTCGTCGCAGCCACATATTTTCGTGTCGACTCTGATTTCGCATCGCAGCCGCACCTTTTTCTTTCCGCAGCCTCCGAATATCATTATTATCGGCCTTCTCGGAATCTCCACTTTCAGCCACGTCCCACGGATCAACTCGCCAACACCTCGCTAACGCTCGTTTATTAACTCGCGGAGATTTCTACACCGCATTCATGGGCAACTTCTGTAGCAGCGGTTTTTCTAACGACGACGGGTATGCGGCGCCGGTGAAAGTGACTAATGCGGGCGGTGAGTAGCAAATCCATGTCAGCAAAAGCACTAAGTTCCCCGTCAGCCTGTTTATCGTTCGTGCCACAAAATGAATGTTCCCCTGAAGATTGAATTCTTCGACCTAAAATATTTTTCCCCTCCGTTTTGCTAATCTTTTCGTCTGCAAGCTGCCCCTCGACAGTGGATTCCACTGCCTTTCCACCTCATTTCTGACCCCGTTGACCTCTTTGACCTCTCTGACCTCTTTGACTGCTTTGACCCCTTTGACCCCTTGACCTCTTTGACCCTCTTGAGGCGCCTCGAAAGTTCAGACTCACTGACCTACCGGTTCCCCATTCCCCCATTGCCCCGCGCAGGCAATTCCGCTCAACCTCCCGCAACCACTGGCGCGCACCAGTTCCCCGCGGCTACCATTCCGCAGTATACGCCGTCCCCCGTGTCGCCCTACCGCCAATGCCATTCCGCGCCTATCCGCGGAGCGTCCCCCTACCATTTTTCCGCCGTCGTACCCGTCAGCCCCTCCCCCCCGCCTGCTCAGTTCCCCGGAAGCAGAGCCACTCCACCCCCCGCCTCCTCCTTCCCCCCGTCCCCTTCCGCCAACCCTAATAATGGCTCCGCCGCCTCCCCTTCCGCCAGCCCCAGTCTTCGCGCAAATGCCTTCTACGACTCCGCATATCATGCTTCCGCTTCCACCACTACTTCATCAGCGGAACCGCTTCCCCCCGCCATAATTTCCGCGGTGTCTTCCGCCAACCAGTCCGCGGGCAGCTCCGCGGGGTCTTCCGCTAGCCAGTCCGCGGGCAGCTCCGCGGGGTCTTCCGCCAGCCAGTCCGCGGGCAGCTCCGCGGGGTCTTCCGCCAGCCAGTCCGCGGGCAGCTCCGCGGGGTCTTCCGCCAGCCAGTCCGCGGGCAGCTCCGCGGGGTCCTCTCGCGGGGGGAACTCCTCCGCTTCCCCCTCCGCCGTCCCTGTGCTCCGCGAGTTCAGCTTCGCGGATCTGCACATGGCGACGGGGGGGTTTTCGCGCGCCATAGGGGAGGGGGGGTTCGGAAAGGTGTACCAAGGGCGGATGGTGCTGCCTGCGGGCACTAGCAGCGGCATTGGCGGAAGCAGCGCCGCTGGCGGGAGTTACGCCATGGGCGGAAGCAGCAGAGCTGTTATGGGCGCAATGAGGGAATGTGACGTGGCAGTGAAAGTGATGAATGGAAAGAGTGCTACTCGTGACTTGACGAGCTTCAAGGTGAGCGAATAAGCAAATCACTTGTGGGAGTTCTCACCAAAGCAAAGCAGACATCAGCCATCTGTGCTAGCTCTCAACGCTCTCAATGCTCTCAATGCTCTCAATGCTCTCAATGCTCTCAATGCTCTCAATGCTCTCAATGCTCTCAATGCTCTCAATGCTCTCAATGCTCTCAATGCTCTCAATGCTCTCAATGCTCTCAATGCTCTCAATGCTCTCAATGCTCTCAATGCTCTCAATGCTCTCAATGCTCTCAATGCTCTCAATGCTCTCAATGCTCTCAATGCTCTCAATGCTCTCAATGCTCTCAATGCTCTCAATGCTCTCAATGCTCTCAACGCTCTCAATGCTCTCAATGCTCTCAATGCTCTCAATGCTCTCAATGCTCTCAATGCTCTCAATGCTCTCAACGCTCTCAACGCTCTCAAGGCATTTCATTCATCCTTCCATCCATCCACTCCTTGCTTACCAGCCAATCAACTCTCCCTCTTATCTGTTCCGTGATTTCAGGCTGAGGTGGAAGCCATGTCAGCGGTGAATCATCCCAACATTCTGAGGCTGGAAGGCGTGGCACTAAACACATCCCAGGGGCCGATGCTCGTGTATGAGCTCATCCCTGGAGGCGATGTTAAGAACTTGCTCAAACAAGGTGAGATAATTTTCCTCTCACGTTGTTCAATGGCTTGGGGGAGTGAGGGAGGGGACAATGTGCAGTCAAAGCTTGTGTATGAGCTGATACCTGGAGGCGATGTCAAGAACTTGCTCAAACAAGGTGTGCCTATTTACCTTACACTCCCTTACCTTCAACTCCCCACCCCTCTCCACCCTAATTTGTCTTCTCTCTTCCATGTCCTCTCTCGCATTTTTATTCCTCCCTCCCATGTTTTGCCTCTAATCCCCCTCTCTCCTTCGTCCCCCCTCCCCTCCCCTCTCACTCGTTCCCCATTCAGTCCAGTAAGCTTATGTTCACTTCCAATGGAGGAATCGCATGCACTAGGGTGCTTTTTCGAACCGCCTCAAAACCCCACTTCTCCCTCCCACCCACCTCCCCTCTCCCTCGGCCCCCCCCTCTACTACCCCCATTCAGTCCAAAAAGAATATAATCACTTCCCATGGAGGCATCACATGGAGGTGCTTTTGAGGAGTCTTTTGAGATGCCTCTAATTCCCCCTCTCCCCTCCCCTCCCCTCTCTCCTGCCCCCATTCAGTCCACAGAAGTGGTCTTTACTTCCCATGGAGGCATCGCATGAAGGTGGCACTGGGCTGTGCCGAGGCGCTAGCCGCCATTCACGAGCACAAGTTCGTTCACCGCGATTTCAAGTCGTCGAATGTGCTTCTGCGAGAGGTACGCAACTATATCCCTTATGTGTTTTCTGTACGTTCGGTTTCCTGTTCTGCTGTGCTGTCCATTTTTCTGCTCCATAGCACTGCTTGCTTCCCAAGTCCACCTACATATCTGTTAACTTATCTTCATGTCTCCCTTTCTTTTGTACTTGCGTGACTTGCAGGATTTCACTCCTGTGGTGGCTGACTTTGGATTGGCTCGCACAATAGAGGACTGGAAAACACACGTGTCAACAAAAGTGGTTGGCTCGATGGGCTACATCGACCCGATCTATCTCCAGACGGGCCAACTATGCCAAAAATCTGACACGTTCGCATATGGCGTGTTTCTATTGGAGCTGATTTCAAGCTGCAGTCCCCTCAGTGCAAAACATCAAGATCTGAGGCAGCTGGTGATCTCAAAGGATCCGCCTGAGCCTTCCTTGGTTATTGATTCTTCTCTTGAGGGGGAGTGGATGAGGAGGCATGCTTTTATTATTTTTACTCTGGTGCGCTTTGCAATTTGCTGCAATTGGGAGCAAAGGCCTCCAATGTCAGTCATTGCCGCCAAGCTTAGGATGATTTGCAGCGAGATAAAGGCTTAAAATATGCAAGTAAGCAAAAAGGTATGGGGTAATGTATTAATGTTGTGTTCATCTTGTTGCGTTGATGAAAATTTGTATAACGAATAGTACATGTGAGTAGCTGAATAAATGGCACCTCGTGTTCTTGGTGAAATAATTGCTGATTACACCGTAAATATGTTTGCATGTGTACTAGGCTAGGTTGGGTTTTCCTATAGAGGATGTGGGATGCTAATAATACCCCCTGTAAGCCCGCATGGCTGCCCTCGTGCCCCCAAAGCCTTCTTCTAGTGCCCCGTCAAGGCCCTCAAAAAGCTGCAAAACCATGTGTATTACACTTGTTACGAATAGTAATACTTGAATGTTACTATGCACTCCTCACCGCAGCAAAGAGAAGCATGCAGTATCGCGAATGAACGTGAAGCGTCAGACGGTTGGAAATGACTCGAAGCATCAGACAGCTGGGACGCATCTGAACCGTCGGAACAGACAGCATCAGGCAGCTGCAGGCAGGATGGTTTCGGCGAGAACAGTTTCGTAACTGTTCGCATTGCACGGTTGGGAATGTATTTGAATAAGGGAATGTACCCCTTAGAGTACATGGCTAGCTAGGTCGTTTCATCTTCGCTGTACTCATTTTTATATTTGCTGTACTTGCATGTTTTAATCATCTCAAGCATTTACATTCACTCTGCTATTGAGGTCAAGGGCCCACCAACATCACTTCTCTGTGGGCGAATCTTCCTGAGTAGATCCTAGGCCACGATCAACTTCTGATCGTAGCATGGTATGAGAGCGACTCAGGAATCCTTCGCACCGCCATCTCCGAAATCTGCGACATTCGGAAAGTGGTGTCCGTGTCAGAATCCCAACCACTGGACCATTGGGATAAAAAGGCTTGTTTCAGTAGCGGTTCAGTGAACCCATAACCCCCCAGGCGAACGCGCCTGTAACCCTCTCCAGGATGAATCGGGCATCCACAGAGCAGATCTACTGACAGTCCGGCACACGATCACGTGTAAGAACGGCCGGAGGATCTGGAGGTCAGACGAATCTGACGGCTGAAGCGCAGCCCAACCCGGCTGCGACAAACGAGGAAACGACGACGATTCCCTCCGTCGTCCTCGCACAACTGCTTCAGCGACTCACGAGCCTGGAGCAAGGGCTCCAGACTTCGCGAAATGGTGATGCGGGAACTTCTTCCCAGCCCACTCAACCGGCCCCAAACGGCCAAAACTCCGCCCCGTAAGGCTTCTCCCTAGATACGAATGGCTCAACCCCCAAGACTCCCTGTTCCAGCGATGAAGTAATTCTCTCCGCGCAATCAAGGTTTTTGAGCATATCAAAATTAAAGACAAGCGTGTGCTTTGACGGCAGAGAATTTTACACCTGGAGCTTCGAGCTGGAGCTACTGCTGCAAAACGCGCAGATTTATCATTATTTCGACGGGAGCTACTCAGGACCTGCTGAAGAAACCGACGACGCAAGGACTCGCTATTATAATGAGTCCCTGATGGCGTACGGGATCCTTCTGCGTAACATGTCGCCGGCGGAGCAGCTGAACATTCGTTCATACAAGACATCGGCTGCCCCAACCCTCGACGCTTGGCGCCACCTGAACGGCGTGTATCAGCCCAAGGACTCCGTCTCCTCGAGCCGACTACTCCAGCAACTGCTGGAAACCAAGATTACCTCGGGGGAGAAGGCCAACAGCTACATCAACCGCTGTCGCAGCCTTCGCGATCAAATCGTGAAGTTGGGAAGCTCGATTTCTGTGGAAATCTTCGTGAACATTGTGCTTCAAGGGCTTGGCACAGAGTGGCGGCCCTGCAAGGCGCTCCTCCGACAGCAGGGGGTCATCTCGGAGGCCACCCTTTGCGCCGCCCTTCTCGTCGAACAAAGGGATATGGATCAGCAGCGACCAGCGCCACGACGAGAACATGAACGGCTCGCCTTCTGCGCCGACAACAACGAAGAGCGACGACCGCGTCGCCTCTACTGCAAAAACTGCAGAAACTTCGGGCATTTGGCGGATCGATGTAAGTTCCGATCTCGCCCTCGCCAGACCAATCCGAGCAACTGGTCCGGCCGACAAGACGCACGAGGCGACGTGCGTCCAGCCCAAGGGTATCAACCCCCATCCGCGTGCAATCGGAACTCAACCGTTCAGCATCAGCTGCAGCAGCCATCGATTGCCCCTACGCGCAACGTCATGAGCAACATGGCCATGACAGGCGAGTCACGTCGTCGCCGTGTTCGCTCACCCTCACCTGAGCCAGCACCGCACCCCATCAGCGCGTTCACCAACAACAACCCGTTCAGCCCGCGCCGCGACTTCAACGACGACGACGACCAGGACTGGAACCTCCCAGTCCCGCTGCTTGAAAGTCCCCCGCACATGCCAGACTTGCGGGTGGCGCCACTTGATTGGCTCTCGCGCGAGCAATTTCTGAAGTTCGACACCCCGCACATTGTCACACCACGATTGGCGCTGCTCGCACGTGACGACAACAAGCGCTACAACACCTGGTACCTGGACAGCTTCTGCGGCCACCATATGGTGGGCTCCGAGCGTTACATATCCAACGCCGTCCCCACCCCTACAGTCACTTACGTCACTGTGGTGAACAACACGCGCTTGCGCGCAAGCGCACAAGGGATTGTCGTGCTCAAAGCACGTGGAAGCTGCACGCACATCACGCTTAACGATGTGCTGATCGTCCAGAACCTGCGCTTCAACCTCCTGTCCGCCGCACAGCTCATGGACTGCGGCGTCGACCTCAACACGGATCGCGAGACGCAAGACATCATGCTGCACTACGAATCGCACACATTTCCCCGCAGGCAGATCGGACGAGCGCACTCTGAAAATGGAGTGTATGTCCTAGATTTCGACATTCCCGACTGCAGCGGCGACTCGCACGAGTTGATTGATCTCATGCCACTGCGCTTCGAGCACATCCACCGCAGGGATTGGAAGCACCCTGACGACAGACCGTGGGTGCCGCACCATCCCCACCCACGCGAAACGGCGTTACACAACCCCGATCCAGATGGCATCTGCAGGGATTGTTTCACGCCGACGACATCAACAATCGCGATTGCCGGCCGCGGACTCGCCGCCATCGCTGAAGCAGAGCGCCACGCGCCCCCAGAGGAAGGGATGTCGCAGCTCGAGCTTGAAGTCACTATCCACGGCATTTTTGGCATGCCAGAGCATCCCCTCATCGGTCCCCCCTCACAGCACCTTCAAGGCATGCTGCGCGGAACTGGCGTCGGCACCTTTGATGCCCATGGCGAGCCGCGACCCTACACCTACGAGAGGTTTCTGGCCATCTACTCTCATCGACGCGACTCATCGAAGAAACTCACCGCGGAGCGAGAGGAAGAATTGGCACGCCGCGAAGCTGAGGAGCTTCGCCAGCAAAGCCTCGCAGAAGCACGTGGGACCTTCGCTTGCGCCACCTGGGTAGTTGAGGCTGAAGAAAGTGCCTCCAATGAAGGAGGTTGGGGGAGCGCCGGAGGATGGGGTGACACCGGCGGAACCTGAGCCAACGCGAGCGGCGGATGGGGAGCCGCAACTAGCGCCGACAATAGCGGCTGGGGTACTTTCCGCGAAGAACGAAAGGGGGGAGAGGATGAAACTGAGGCAACACCTGCAGTCGTTCCTCTTGGCCGTCCTCCGCGTCACATTGCACTCGCATCACCTCCTCCTGACAACCCACCGCGTCGCGATCCATGGGACACCATCATCTAGGTCAACGAGCCGTCAACCCCGCGTCGCACCGTCTACAGACCTGCCCCTGAGCCACACGAACCCACCTTCGTCCCTTGAACCATCCCCGGGACCAACATTCTGCTCCCTGAGATTCGCGACAGAGAGTTCTTGGCGCTGATGCTGACCACCGCGCCGGAAGAAGAAGAAGCAGAGGGAGTAGCAGCAGAACCTGCTCCTGTACCTGACGAAGACCCTGAGGAAGCACGCGCACGCTACATACGCACCTCCGGCTTTCACGCTAACGATACTCTCTGGCACCAGCGCCTCGGACACCCTTCACGTGCGACACTGAAAAACTGCATCGACGCAGGCTGTCAGAACATTATAGCTTACTTATTTGTGTAGGCTATAGTGGGGTATCCCATAGGGGGTACAACCCAATTAGGGTTTCCTATTTGTACTCACTTCGTTCATAGTCATTTTCATTCTCGTTCACTTCTTCTCATGGTATCGAGCAGGTTCCCCTGTGGGAACTGTGCTTAGGGCCCACCACCACTACCTTGAAATTTTTTTCTGCCCTAGCCGCTAGCGCGCCGCCCGCCCTAGCAGCCCGAGCGCCGCCTTAGAGCCCGCGCCCCGCTGCCCGCCCTAGCGCCCTAGCGCCGTAGCGCCCGCGCGCTGCCCGCCCTAGCGCCCTAGCGCCCTAGCGCCTCGCTGCCCGCCCTAGCACCCTAGCGCCCGCGCGCTGCCCTACGCAGCGCGTGAGCAGCCCGCGTGAGCCGCCCGTGCGCCGCCCAGAGCCGCCCGTCAGCTGCCCGCCCGTGTGCTAGCAGCCTGACGCGCCAGCCGCCCGACGCCCGCTAGCCGCCCGTCGCCCGCTAGCCGCCCGACGCCCGCGCGCCGCCCGACGCCCGCGCGCCGCCCGACGCCCGTGAGCCGCCCGTGCGTCGCCCTCAGCAGCCCGACGCGCTGCCCGTGCAGCCGCCCGTGCAGCCGCCCGTGCAGCCGCCCGTGCAGCCGCCCGTGAGCCGCCCGTGCGCCACCCGACGTGCCGCCCGTGCAGCCGCCCGTGAGCCGCTCGTGCAGCCGCCCGTGCTGCCACCCGACGTGCAGCCCGTGCAGCCGCCCTCAGCCGCCCGACGTGCCACCCGTGCAGCCGCCAGTGAGCCGCCCGTGCAGCCCCCCGTGCAGCCGCCCGTGCAACCGCCCGTGCGGCCGCCCGTGCAGCCGCCCGTGCAGCCGCCCGTGCAGCCGCCCAACGTGCCGCCCGTGAGCCGCCCGTGCAGCCGCCCGTGAGCCGCCC